ATTTGGATTCCCTGCTCAACCCCCTACCAGCCCCTCCCTTCCTCTGCCCCCAGGGAGCCTCTCCGACAGCCCCGCCCAGCTGAGCCCTCCCTCGCCCTCCCGCTCTTCTTGTCAACCTCCTTATCTGGCCCCCCGGAAGGGATGGGCGGAGGGCAGGGTGCAAAGGCCCCGGCTGGTCCCTGCCTGGAGGAGGCCAAAAGGTTCGACATGGGGGCTCCCTCGCACCCCTCCCAGCTGCTGCTCCTCCTGGGGGTCTTCCTCCTCGTCCTCCTCCTCCACCTCTCCAGCTGGAGCCTCCGTCAGCCGGGCGTTGGGCGGGGAGGGGAGTTGCGCGGGGTCCAAAGTGCCCAGCCTGCAGCTCGCCTTCCCTGCACCCTGGCACCCTGTGCCTGGGAGGGGCACCGGCCCAAGGAGGGAGAGGGAGAGGAGGTGAGTGCCGGATGGGGGGGGGGGGGGGGGGGGGGGGGGGCAGAGGGAGGCGGTATCTCCTTCCTCCTTAGGCTGGGAGGGGAGCTGGAGATTTTGGCTGCTAGCTGAGGGACAACCAGGACCAATAATTGGGGTGGGGGGAGAGCGAGGGGGGAGGGCAGGGAAGCCCCTCCCCATTGAAATCCCAGCACGGTTGGGAGTCAAGGCCGAAGGGCCCTCGGTACGGTGAAACGGGGCCAGACCGTATTTGGGGGGACCGTATTTTGAGGCGGGGGGAGGGAGGGGGTTAATCCTTTCCTTCCCCCACGCTGCCAGCTCTTCCTTGCCCTCTTGCAGCAGCCCAGCCCTGCGCCTGCCCCCGCTGGGACCCCGACAGCCCCCCTTCCTCTCTGGGGCGAAGAAGACTTCGACATCCGGCAGCTGCAGAGGGCCTTCTCGGCCAGCCTCTCCCCCCAGGGAGAAATCCTCCTGGGAGAATACCTCCACGGCTGGGGGCAGCTGCTCAAGTGAGGACGGCAAACGGGGAGGGGATTCCGGGGAGACCTGGGCCCAAAAGACGGCCCCTCTGTCCACTGCCCACCCCGGGGGCGGCTTTTTCCCTCCAAGGGCCCCTGCAGGAGCCACGCTGGGCGTGAGGGCGCCTCCTTCCAGCAGGGGAGGGGAGCCCCTCCTTCCAGCAAGAGGGGGGGGGAGGGGTGTCCTGCTTCTTAATATTGGGGTGGCATAAAGCAGACCGAGCACCTCCACAAAGCATCGATACAAAGTCCTTTTTGAATTGGTTCATCGGGCATCCTTATCAACTCACATTGATGAGGAGGTTCTTCTTAACGTCCAAGGCTTTGCAGATCTGAATGGTGGTGGAGGGGGCCGGGGGGGGGGGAAAGTTTGGCTGAAGCCCCAGGGGCGGGGGCCCCTCAACGCTGTCCAGCCTTTGAGACTGGCGGGGCTTCCCCCCCCCCCCCCCCACAAAGCCAGCTCTGGGGATCCCTGGCCCAGGTTGGCTGCCTCTCAGCCGGCTCACCCCAAAACCCAGGGCGGAAGAAGGGCGGGGGGGAGGGGGGACTCTGCCAGCACCCCCAGACATTTCTCTCCCCCCCAAAAAAAATAATAATCACAGGGTTCAATCATGGGGATGAGACTTTTATTCTTTCTCCTGTTCTGCTTCAAGCAGACAGAATAACTCCACAAAGCATCCAGGCAAAATCTTCTTGAATTGGTTCATCGGGCATCCTCATCAACTCACATTGATGAGGAGGTTCTTCTTAATGTCCAAAGCTTTGCGAATCTGAATGGTGGCGTAGAAAGAGAATAAACTCTCATCCCCCATGATGATGATTGAAGCGACCGCACGGTAAAGGATTCGGGCTAGAGCGAGGGAGCCTCCCCCCAACCCACCAAGGGTCCATTCAGTGGCCAATCCAGATGACAAATGGGACCACATGACGTGGACTACATTTCCCAGGATGCCTTAACTACACTTACCATGAGGGGACAGCTCACTTAAAGGGGACAGCTCCCAATTCCTAACTAACTATCCCAAATCCCATTCACTCTAAAGTGTCTGGACAGCACAGGGGGGGGGCTGGGCCTGACTCCCTCTCACTGTGGGCCTCAGCAATGGCCTGTGGGTTCGAGTCCCATGCAGCCCCCTCTGCCTTTGCAGGACTGGGAGGGGGAGGCCCTCTGGGCATCGGGGGGCAGGGGGGGGGGAGAATATGTGGCTGCAGCCTTCGCAGGATGATGGGCTGCTGTCCTCCTCTTGCAGGTTGACGGACGCGCTGGGCCCGGCCTTTGGGCTGATCTCCCGGGAGGCCCAGTCCAAGATCAGCATCATGCAGTGGCACCAGCAGGGACCCCAGGGACCCCACTACCGCACCGTGCAGTCCATGGTGGACTTCGAGCTGACCTCGGGCTTGGTGGGCTTCCGGTCCTTGCCGGCCCGCCTGCCTCCCTCGGGCTGCCGGACGCTGCTGCGCCTCCACCGCACCCTGAAGTGGCTGGAGCTTTTTCTGCGGAGGCTGGGCGCCAGCCGGGAAGACGAGAGCCCCTCCCGGATGTGTGCGGAGGCCTACCGGCTGGCCCTGGCCCCCTACCACAGCTGGTGGGTACGGCAGGGGGCTGCCCTGGCCTTCCTGGCTCTGCCCTCCCGCCGGGAGCTGTACCACACCATCCTGCGGGTGGAGCAGCTGGCGGCCGGGGCCCTCGTCCTGACTACGGTGGAGAGCCTGGGACGGGTGTACAACGTCACCCAGGAGGTCTACTCCGCCCATGGGATGCTGGACCTGCCCTAAGGATGCCCGGCCGGGGCTTCGGGCCGGTCACTTGAAGGACATCCGTACAGCAAGCGGCGCCGCATCGCGCCTCCTGCCCCCCAAGGGCGGGTTACAGCGCCCCCTCTGGGCTGGGTTGCACCTGGACAGCGCCTGCCCCTCTACCCCCTGGGCCAAAGCAGGATGCAGGGGTTGGGCTCCCTGTGCAGGGAGGCGGGCAGTGCCCTCCGACCCAGAGCGAGCCCTCCTCGTCTGGTTGCTGGGTTCTTGCAATGGGTACTTCCAATGGGCCCCCTTCGATGCCGGCCTAGAGGGATGGGGCGGGTGGTTGGGGTTCCATGCCATATTCAGGCTTCGGCTGGGTGGCGGGGAGGGGAGATCAGTCCCCGGCAAGACTTTGCCGCAATCGGAGGTCGAGAGAGCTGACTTCCACCAGCTAAAACGGGGGTGGGGTGTGTATGTGTGTGTGTCAGACTTGATTTCATTGAGAAATGGTGTAGGGGGGGTTGGACTCGATGACCTGTAAGGTCCCTTCCAACTTGGATTATCTGTTACCTGTTACCTGTATCTGAAGGCCGTATCAAGGTTGTGTTTGAACTCGGGAGCCAAGATGGGCGTGGCCAGCTCGACATCACTCGTATGTGGGTGTATGTGGGGGGGGGGTCCCTGTGGCAGCCTGAGGAGGAGGACTCGGCCAGCAAAAATGGGCTCCCGGGCTCCGTTTTCGGCTCCGACGGCCTCCTGCATCCCTCTGCCAGCAACAATGGGCTCCCGAGCTCCGTTTTCGGCTCCGA